GATAAATAAATAAAAATATGTGATTATTACTGAAAAAATTAATTTATTTTTTATTTTTAAGTTTTACTCGCCTTCCAATAAGCACATTTTTTATAAAGGGTGAAGGGTAGAAAAAAGTTTTTAAGAAATATAAGGGAGAGTATTCAGCCCCCCAAAATTTTTACTGTAATTTCGCCTGTGATCCGACAAATTATTAAACTAAAGTGAAGATAATTATTTGTGTTTTTATATCGATTTTATAAATTTTTTTAATTTTCAAACTAGTTATAAAAATGTAAAATATTAAAATTAAAAAAAAAACTCATTACTCAATTAGAAAATATCATATAAATGAATATTTAAATATAGATCATGTTCTTACCTTTAGATTTAATAACCTTTGTGCTTTTTTTACAGAATTTTTTACAAGCTCTCTACAGAGATTTGCGTAAAATCTCCTTTCTAATCTCAATACATTTTTCTTCCTAAACTATTTTTATTCATTCAATCATAAATTACCGACCAACACTTCCAAATACGTCATGGTTTTTTTCACTTTAAATATAACTATCATTAATTCTGAAATTCCTCAAATAGGTATTCTTTCGCCCATATTGTTCAATATTTTTATGATTTGAATCAACTCTTTAGTCAAAATACACTTGTCACTGATTATGTTAATGACAGTCATATTATCAATAATTGATAATATGAATGAATTATTAATTAATGAATTATTCATATTGATTCATTAACTGCCTCAGAAATTATAAAATCACTATAAATCCACTTCTTTCACTTTAAGGCATGGACTTTATCTTGATATTACCTTGAATAATCTACTTATCCCTTCTCTCTTTACTGTTAAATATTTAGGCCTCAACTAGGGTTGCCAACCATCTTACATTGAGCAGGATCGTCCTACATTCGTTTGATTTGTCCTACATTCAACAATGCTTTAAATTTTTTGTAGGATAATAGTACAATTTACAAAAATATAATTTTAATTTTAATTATATTATTATACTAACATTTATTAACTATTAATTTACATGATATATTGTACGTTGAAATTAAATATATTATTAATAATCTAAATTAATAAAAGTGATATAAATAAAATGCATTAGATGCTTTTGTTAGTAATTATTATATTAAATTATGTTGTTTGTAGTATTGTTTATTAAATGATGCAGTAGTGTAGTCAAAGGGTCATAGGGGACCAACATGGCCCATGGCCCCCTCCCCATTAGCCGTATTGGTAATACATATAACCAATATAAATTTCCATATTGGTGGTTTTTTTTTTTAAATTTTATATATCTTTTCTTTGGCTTTGTCCCTTCCCATCTTCATTCCAAAATCCTGGCAACGCCATTGAAACTATGGTATAAAATGGATATAATAAAAATTGTCCTACATTACAAAATTTGAAAGTTCGCAACCTTTTTGTCTCAACCTCAATAAAAGACTAACATGGCAAAATCATATTAAAAAAAGATTAAGTCTCAATGCTCGTTCTCGCTTACTATATATTTTACTCTCAAAAAATAAATTGACCGCTCTAAAAGATTCACTGTTAATATCTATAATGCTCTTTAATCCAATGTGTTTGTATGGAATCCAATTATTGGGATTGTTGAAAAAATTTAATTTAAAGCGAATACAAGCATTTCATATTGTCACACTTCGCAAAATTACAAATGTTCTACTTTTTGTTTCTAATTTGACTCTGCATAAAGACCTTGGCAATAAAATACTTGAGTCAGAAACAGTAGATTGTATAAACTCTTCTCTACTAGATAAGAAAACCACGAAAATGTATTGATAAAAGGTTGACATAATATGTCAAATTATATATTATTATGATATTATTATTATTATTATTATATTATTATATATTATTATTATTATTATTATGTTATATTATATTATTATTATGAGATATTATCTCTTTACTTTAAGGAAATTCTCGTTGCAGTCTCAAAAAGAAATTATATAGAACTAAGATAATTCTTATCTTAATACCAAGTTAAGTGTCATCAACGGGTGGCTTCTTAATCACGCGAATTCAATATATTTTTATTCTTTACCTTACATTTACTTATTCTGCTTGCTTAATATAGTTAGTAAACTTTTTTTAATAAATAAAATTAAAATTAAAATATTTGATTACCTCTAGGTCAGTTTAGTTATACTAAGCTTACAATACAAAATAGGTTTTACGGAACTCAGATTTGTTATATTGTACGTTTGTAAAACGTAGGCAAACACGTGGATGTGACCTGCTCTTAATATCTACAAAATGTATATTTTTAAATTTAATTTACTCAATGATTGGAGATTTAACATCTTTGTGTTTAGATTTAACTTATAGAAAAATATTCAGATTACTACTGTTGGTTTCATAATTTATATTTAAATGGTTATTGTTGATATACGGACTTCTGCGTATTTGGGGCAGTTGATCTTTATCATGTTTGTCACATAGTAGACATTGCACACTGTTGTCAATTCTTCACTAATAAGAAATGTGTGTGATGAGCGAGTTTTAAGTGTGTCCCTCCCATAATTTTTTACCTTTTCTTTTCTTTTTATGCCCTTCTTTTAATAATAAATATTTCAAAATAAATAGTTTAAAATTCGTAATGTAATAATATTCAATTTCGATTTACATATATTTACAGTATAAACCCTTTTCAACTGGAAGTTTTATTTTCTTAAAGAACAATTCTAATAAAATATTCCTTTCTCACAAAATGAAATTTTCCACAATAAAGTTATACTTAAGTCAGTTTTTTTTTTTTACAATGGTACTTTTCAGAAAAAAGTTTTTAATAATCTTAGTACTGTTATTCTTCTTGTAAGATTGGTCAAACACGTCTTATACTTATTTATATAGTAATTTATTTGAATACTATTACACTGATAATATTCGTGATGTTATTTTCTTGCTTGACGCCATTGGCAATATTTTTAAGACGTAAAATTGAGGCGTACATGACTCATAGGGATACCGTTATTTAGAAGTTTTATGAACTCGCTAGTTAACTATTGCGGAATTCAACCGGTTGTTTTATGTTTATAAATATTTTTATTTTTTATATATATCTACCTATTTTCTGATTATTAAATGTATTTCAAATATGTTTTTTAGTTTTCTTATTTATTTTTCTTTGAAAATACTTAAAAATTGATTATTTTATTGAAGTATTATTTTCATTTAAACATCTGTATAAATATTTTACGTAATTCGTTTGGTATATTAAAAGAAAAAAGCCTGTAATTTATTTGTTTTAGAAATAAATTATTCAATATTTTTTATAAATATTGGTGAGTAATGATTATTTTTTATATTTTAAATCATTGGTTGAGACTGATTTTTAATTTTTTTAGATCAGATGATCTCTATATTTTATGACTACAGATTTTAACATTAACAGTACTCAATATCTCTATTATATAAAATTACTCAAGTATTTTATTTTTCTAATTTTACTTTATAAACTTATATAACAATAAAATTCAACTTTATTTTCTGTATAACATATGATTATGAGAGATATTAAAATGTTACATTTTAGCTTTCTATAGATTTTCCTTCTTAATTAGTAGAATAATATATTTAAACTTAATTTACAATAATCATTAGCATGATACAGATGATTATTTAATTTAGTGAAATATTTTTTTCTATATTTATACCAAGTTATTTTGAAAAACATTTTCTTATAGAAGGTATATTACCTACATAAAGCTATTATAAATTAAAATATAATTCATCTAAAAATATTTTTTCAAATGTATATTTCTTAAAAATATTTATATAAGTGTTTAAATATGCACTAAAAATACAAAAATATACGAAAAAAATATTTATAAAACAAATGTCAAACTATTATTATTAAAATACCAATCGCTTCACTATATGATACAAATAAATATATAATTTAAACTTTTCTTAAAAATAAGAAGAATTAATTAATGAACATAAATTAATTATAAATATAAATAATTAATACTACTATAATTACTTTTTATTATTAAGAAAAAAATGTTTAAAATGTTACAAAACTGGAAAATACTTAAAAAAAGCAAAATAGCAAGTAACAAATTTCTTAATATGCAAAAATATGCAACATAAAATTTCGTATTTAGTTTCTTCGTTATCTAAAGCAAATTTATAGCTTATATAGGTATTTTTAGGACCTCTCAAAAAAAAAATAATATGTAAATGCTATAAATTATGATTCCTGCTTATAACTGTATTGTCCTTATTTTTAAATGTAAACAAATGTGTTATAAATACAACTAATATAATACGCGGCTTATACTAGGAACCAGTGCCTTTCTGGAACAGATATAACAATTAAGCTATTGAGGAAATCTTGAAAAGCCATGAAACTTATTTACTAAAATAATAAATAAAAAAAATAACTTAAATTTAAATCAATTAAATTAAAAAATATAATACACGTTTAATTTGTAGTTAAAAAATATATGTTTTTAATCAAGAACTGGTATCTAACCAGCTATTTTTTCTCATAAACACATAAATTCAGTATTGTATAATCTAATTTATGTAATCTGTGAACTCATGGGCCCCTAGTAGCCAAATTATATAGTAGTAAAATTATCTTTTTAAAAAAAATACATAAAATAATATTATTGAATTTTTATCTATTATCAAACTTTTTTTTTAATTTTATAAGTACTTGTTTATATTTTTATTTTTATAACCAATCTTAATTTATGAGTCATTTTTAGATATATTCTAACACAAATTATAATAATTTATTAAATTCCCTCCTGAGTGTAGTTTCATTTGAGTATTTGAATCATACTACCAAATGTATTTAAATAAATATTGTAATATTTAATTTAAAGTTTTAAATTAATATTTACTAAAATAAGTTGATAAGATTACGTTTATTATTACTATTTTAATTTAAGAATACTCCAATTCTGTTTTTTTATTTAACTGTTTTCAAACAGATGTTATCTGTTTTATCATATTTTAGATATGGAAAACTCTCATTGCAATGGGCTATCTTTTTACCGTAACATGGATCACAGCATTTGTCATGGTAATTGTTCATGATCGTGTACCTGACATGAAAAAATATCCTCCATTGCCTGATATTTTTCTGGATAATGTGCCATACATTCCTTGGGCATTTCACATGTGTGAATTGACAGGCACAGTTTTATGTTTTGTATGGCTTACAGTATTGGTCTTCCATAAGCATCGTTTCATATTGTTACGGCGGTTTTTTGCGCTCTCGGGTACTGTCTTCCTTTTACGATGCATTACAATGATTATCACTTCCTTGTCTGTACCGGGCACTCATTTAGAATGTACACCCCGTAAAAAACCAGCATTTTTAGATGGCAAGTTAAATATAAATAATTAATCACAATTTCATTACATTTTATTATGTTTTCATACATTTTTTATTTCAGATGGGAATTTTATTGGAGATATGGTGTATAAAATGCAACAAGCATATGTAATATGGAGAGGAGCTGGTATGTCAATACAAGGAGTTCGCACTTGTGGTGACTATATGTTCAGTGGACATACAGTCGCATTAACAATGTTAAACTTCTTCATCACTGAATGTAAATTTATATCATAATTACTTATAAAATAATGTCCATAACAGTTTTTCATTTAAGTTATATTTTACCTTTCACAGATACCCCACGTGACATTTATCTGTTACATACCTTCAGCTGGCTTATGAATATGTTTGGTATATTTTTTATACTTTCTGGTCATGAGCACTACTCCATTGATGTATTTATAGCTTTTTACATTACATCAAGACTCTTCCTGTACTACCATACACTTGCAAATAACCAAGCATTAAGTAATAATGTTGATTCTTGTCGAACACGAATTTGGTTTCCCTTGTTTAGTTTTTTTGAATCTTCATGCTGCTGTATGGTACCAAATGAATATGAATCAATAATAGAAATTGCAGAAAATCTAGCATGTTCAACATACAATAAATATTTAGTTATTAAGTCAGCAATCAAGACTCAGATTTTTTTACTACGGTCCCTACCATCTAACCAAAAAACACAAATTGGTTCATCTACTTTAGTTGGCACAAGCACAATTGGATCCAGAACACCGATTATTTTGCATAAAAAAAAAAGATAATGAGTTAAGAACACTCAAATTGGTGAATTAATATAGCTGATATTCATAACCTCAAGCACAGTGTATAGTAATAAAACATTGAATTTTGTGATAAAAAGTTAATATTTTGAAGACTAAGAGTCAAACATAAATATATTTTGTTACTTTTCTTTAGTGTTTATGAAGTTGTTCTTAGAATAACTTATCGATCACTTCCATTTTGTAGGTAGTGTTCATTATTTTTCTAACCTATACATGATATCCCTACTACTTCATTTTTATTTATAAGACCAAAAAAATGACTTGTTACTGTACTATATATATATATATATATATATATTTTGTAGATTTTTTTTTTTTAATTTTATAATTTTTTTTTTTTGAATTCCTATAGTCAATAATTCCTACTTATTAGTTAAATTATGTAATTTAAAGAATTTATTACTGGACCTCCTATCAGTACCTAATTATTGTTTAACTCTAGTCTTAAAATGTTATATTTAAATGTCTATCTTCAATTAGTTTTCATTTAAAAATGATGAATTGTACTTTCTGTGCATAAATGTTTTTAATATGTTAAAAAAATATTTTAATATAAAATAAATTATGAATTTATGAAAGCTGTTTTTAACATGTTAATTACAATTTACACCTTTTAAAAATATTTTTTTATTTTATTGCATCATTAATTACTGATTCAAATTATTATTTTACATAAATGTATTGTTACTCTATGTCATTGAATGATATACCATTTTACTATTTTAATACATTATTATATTACTTTATTAATTAGTTATATTCATATAATTTTATCCAAATAGTTGATTAATTTTAATAAATTAAACAAATCTATTGTACAAATATGTATCTTTAAAAGAAGTGAGTATATTGAACATTCATTGTATGTTAACATTTTAATATGCTCATAATTATATTTTAACTTGAAATCAGAAGTTGTTGGGAAATCTAGTGTTTCAAAAATAAGTCTTGCTAATTAGTTTGCTTTATTTATATTCAGAACCATAAAAATATATTGTTCATTATATTGATAACATAGATTTTAACGCAATAACTGTTACTTATTGAGTCTATCCATAACCAAGCAAACTTCTGAATGGACAAAAGATGTAAATCTTTTAACAACTTAATTATTCGATCATGATTTTATGAAGTTCAACATTCGTATAATTTATTTATCCTTAATTCATAATATGCTGCTCACCATTCTATTATATTTCACCTTCCACATGTATGATAGTATGTGTTCATAAAGTTATTATTTTACCAGATATTTTTTGATTCATACATCTATTCAACTATTGTATACTTTTCATTGATTATAATTATTTTTAAAGAAAAATTACCATTTCATTATTAATAACAACTACAATTCATTATCATATAAAAATAGTCATATTTTTTTAGGAAACATTTTCAAAATTATGAACATTGCAAAAACATTTCTTATCTGGATCAAAAGTCCAATCTATTATGCTTTGTAAGCTTTACATATTTTGTTTTGTTTTTAATTGATGGAAATTTTAGGTAAATAATAATTAATAACACAAATAATATTGAAAATGTATATAAATATGTCTTAACCCTGTGAGTATATCTACATTTAAAAAATAATCTGATTGAATTTTATTACTGTTCCATTTATCAAGGAATTAACAAATAAGAAAATCTGTAATAAATCAATTATTTTTATGTAAATGGATAAATATTATTTGACACTTGTAATTTATCATTCTAAATTTATAAAATTATTATTTAATAAATGAAAAGAAACATAATTCAGTGTCAGCATAATAACATCATTAATTGCTAACTTATTACCTCAGTTATTTGTAACATCCCAGTAAGATTTTTTTTAAGAAAACAAAAATAATAAATTAGAGTAAGGCTATTCAAATATATAATTTTCTTTTTTAAATTTTCCAGGAATATAGTTGTGAGAAAAATACCATTTACAATAATGTTACTGAATAAGAGTTGAATCTTTATTATGTTACTGATTTTGTAATTTTAAAAATTAATATTTTTTTTGAACCGACGCCAACAAGGGATCGGATTGTTCCTGTACTTCCCAAACATAGAAATTAATATTAAATATAAATAACAAAAATGCATTTAACTAAATCAATTTTGAATAAATTAAAATATTTAATTAAAAAGTTAAAAATGTGAGCGAAATAAATATTTATTACAATAAATGATTTTCATCATAACTGTCAATAGTTAATCAAGTGTGTATTAATAGTTCTAAAATGTATTTATTTAAGCAGTGTACAACCAAATTTAATAATTTTCATGAATTAATAATAAAATTATCACAATCAAAACATATTTTTATAATCATTTAAATTATTTCGAATTTGATATTGTTGATCACACATTGTTGGTAAACGTAATTCAATAATTATAAATTACAATTGAACACATTTCAATTTTTCAGAACAAAACTATTATAACAATTATACAGAATTACATGGATATAGGAATATCAATAATGGATTTTAATTTACTCCAAAACTATTTTCCAGCAGCATCAGTCTTCAAATAATTTAAAGAATATTAATTTCAATTTTCAGTACAAGTGCATTAATTATTAAACAAAAACTTAATTTCATTCATATGGTATTTTATAAAGAAATAAGTTTAAGGTAATCTACAAATTGAATTTTGTAGTTACATAATACACATAAACAATAAAAGTAATAATGATAATGCTATAAATGTAATAAAGAGTTTTAATGGCGAATTTAGTTTTAAAATGTATAATTTTTATAACAATTTATCAAGATCAACAGAGTAATTTTTTTTAAGGGAAAATCAAAAAATCATCAGATGTATACCTTCAAAATTAGGGTGGTTAGCACACTATTTTTTTAATTGAAAAAAAGTCAATTACTACTAACATATGTATAATTTAAATTGTTTTAAAAAAATGTAATAAACCAAATAAGTAATTATAAATAAACAATGTTTAAAACAAATAGTATTTGAGCAAATAAATAATTTTGGGTAAAGCACACCTAAGAAAAAATTTTAAATTTAACCGGACGGATTTTTTTACTGAATTTTAAACAAATTCTATAAATGTTATATTTATTAACCTACAATATTTTAGACTGAACATATTAATGACTGCATCTATAAAAATTACAGCCAATATTATACATTTGATTATGTGAAAAACATTTATATGAAGCTGATTATTATTAACTATTATTGAAACAGCAGGCATTGTCTTTGTTCCTTAATCTAGTGTGCGAATATGTCAAATGTTATATGGTAATAAATTTCAGGTGTTATGCCTTAACGCACAGATTGATACAAATGTATTAGGATGATGCAAATGTAAAACAGGTATTACAGTAGCAACTATTCGGTATTCAGCTCTTAGAGTGTTCAATGTAGCATTAATAAGTTGTCGACATATAGGCTTTTGATCTTGCGAAACTTTATAAAATATTCGTAACGAGCAAATAGCATCAGTTGGTGTTGATGTTGGTTCCCCACGCAATAATCTTTTTAGTGAATAACGGAAAGCTTCTTCTAGACCAATAGCAGATATAGATTCAGTAGATGTGTCTAATGAATCAGCGATAGCTGATAATGAAGTGCAAGATCCTGTAATGAATAAATATTGTTACATATTTCACATCTAAAAATATTTTCTAAGATAAATACCTGAAGATATATATGTAACAATGGCAGCTACATTGTTTTCATAGTTCCAGCGTCGACGTATTGAAACTCTATAATTATCAACACAACAACCGGTTTCTTCATCTATATAAAATAATGAAATTAAAATAAGATATAATTATTATATTTAATTTAAAAAAAAAAAACCTTAATTATATACTTACATTCAAATCTAGCATTATGTCTATGTGCCCACAAATGCCATTCGACAATTGCATTTCTTGGTAGCCGCGATACTACTATATAATCTACAATAGCATTGTTTGTCCTTTTCTCCCATTCAGTTCTAGCAGCATGAATATATTTAGTATGAGTAACATAACATATACCCTAAAGATATATATTTTAGTTAAATTGACCAAATCATAACTATTTATTATGAAATATTTTAAGGCAATTTACTTGTACAACATCTCTAAGTTGTGTATTAGAATCAACAGCTTTAATAATTCTACTAACATGTCGTAATGATAGTTGACATTGTCGTCTAATTCCGCCTTCAACAATATTTAATGTACCAGGTACTAAAGCAATTTGTCCAGCAACATAAATAATATCACCAATCTAAAAAATCAAATAAATAAAGATATATTGAACATATTTTAAATGTATATAAATAGAATAATAAAATCATAAAACACCATAGATAAGAACTTTATAAATTTAATGTTAATTACAGATTTCAGTCTAAAATATTGTCAAATTACATATATTTATTTAAAATATTTATTAATTTATTATAATATATTGTTGTTTATTTTTATATTTTAAAAAAGGTTTTATACTAAAATATATTATATTGCATATATATATATATATATATATTGTTATATACTATATAATCAGTTTTGTTTTGGTACTTGCATATCAAATTGATGATAAAAGATAAATTGCATTACATCCAAAATGTTTAAACAAAAGTATTTATAGATAGGAAAGTTCTGTCCTAAATGATAATTAAATAATTTAGTATAAAAATAACAGTATCAATATAATTTGACACCTAGGCATACATGGAGAAAACAATATATTGCTATTATTAGATTTATTAAAAGAACAATTAATAATATAAGTAGTACAATAGAACATAATATTTTTCTTATACGTCCAAATCAGTCGTTAATTTTCACATATATACAATTATATTCATGACAAAAACTTTTATTAATTATTCAATATTTTAATTGGTAGTAGTTATTATTATAAGTACATATGGGTAAAAATGTAAGAAAAACAAGAGTTATGAATAACATACTATTTATTTTACAGTTAAATTTATTATCTTAGTTTTTTAGATTCTAAATGCCAAATTATATGGATACAGTAGTTTTAATAAAAAGTTATAATTTGGGATCCTAATAAATCACTAATAAATACGACAGGTGAGTTCCATCTAAACATGTGGGACCCCACAAACTTGATGTAATATGGGAAGTACTTATCATTAATATTATTATAATGTAAGAAACATGCAACTTTTTGTTAATTAAAATAATAAAAAAGTACCAAATCAATTTCCAAGAAAGAGTATGTTCGTAATAAAAAATTAGCTATTTACTCGTATTGCTTGACTATATGGCCCAATATTTGCAGGAGCCCAATGTGATATACTTTGTACATGCATTGTATGTCTGGTAACTGATGGAAGGTTTGTATTTGAAGAAGTCTTGGATGGTGGCTTATAAGCTACAACATCCATGAGGATAGGTGTCCTATCTGAAAGAGGTATTTCAACACAAACTCTTACAGGAGGACTAATTCTACACATTATTGATGCATATTGTGCATTCATATTGAGAAACTCTGTTATGTCATGAACATAAAGAGTAACAGCAACAACATCAGTTAACTCTAAATTTCTTTCCTGCAACAAATCTAAAACATTTATAAATTAAAAAATAAATAATATAAAAAAATTATTTTTATTATTACTAATTTAAATTATATATTTTTAAATGTTAGGTTTAAAATTGTTTAATTTTAAGTCATATTTCATACATTATACTTATTTTATAACTAGCAATTTAACTTTGAATAATTTCTATATTATAAGTTACTGCGCTTTATATTATTTAGTAACTCAAAATTTTTCAGCAAATAGGACTCAGACCATATAATTATTATTAATTAATTAACATATTTTTTAAATATATTGATATTAAACTTGTGATTTTAAGATAAAGAAGAATTAATGTAATTTTAAAAATTGTTTATTATTTTTAAATTCTATAAATACCTCTTAATTTTTCAAGAGCAACAATAATTGGAGATTTATCATCAACCCAGTGACCAGTTAACGAATTAATCCAAGTCCAACCATTTGGATATCCAATACATGACACAGAATCTGTTTCTACAAGTTCACCAAAACACATCTGACCATCAGTCTGATCAATTATGATACTATTGCAGTCTGGAGTATCATCATCAAAATTGTCACTATCAGTAATAGTTCCAAGGTCAATTTCTAAATCTTCCAAATCCATCAAGTGAGCTAGTGGGCTACGTACAGGATAACCAGCCATACGATCACGGAAACTTTGATTTTCATCAACATTCTTTAAGAAAAAGTTTATTTCATATCAATACTGAACATTTTAAAATATTTAAAATAATTTAATTAAAATACCAATTCATAACTAAGGCTAAAATTTGTACCAACCGGTTTTTTTAACAAGCAAAATTTTTTAAAATTTATATATCCAACGGGAGCAATTGTGTCATTGGTATGCATCACAGTTTCAAACTCTTCACTGAAAAATATCAAAACAATGTATCTAATTAAATATTTTTACCATAAATTATATTTTTAGTTGAAACGTTTAAAATTTTGTAAAAAATAAAATAAAAATATTATTTTATTGACCTTATAAGATTAACAAATTTTAGATAATTAATATTATTTGAACATATTTTTAACATGTATGTTCTTAATAAAAAGAATATGGAAAAACTTGTACTTGTATTTATAAATTAACGATGAATTGGAATAGATGATATTATTCAATTAACATTTTAAAAATGTTGATGCACTTTTGCCACTGTCTAAATATTTAATATTTTATTTGTAGTTTGAAATATTTAAGTAGAGATTTTATGTTATTTTTTTTTACATAAATTCATCAAAAGGAAAAGAAAAATATTTTATTTCAGATAATAACATTTTAATTATTATTTTGAAAAAAACATTTAGCAATGACTTTTATATAAACAATATTAACTAATTTTTAAAATTGTTAATATTATATATGAACCTAATTTGAAAAAAAAAAGGTTATACTAATAATGATAAATTTCATATGATTAAATACATAAATTTATAAATATATATTGAGTAGTATGGATTATACATATAATTATATGATTCTATTTAAAATAATAATAATAAAAATTAACAAATAATTATAATGCTGTCAACTATGTAGTAAAAAGTCCACCTATTTTTATTTTTATTTTTAATTTACTAAATATAGCTTAGAATACAAAAATAATTCTCTAACGAGAACTAATATCAAACATTACTAAATTGTATTCTAAAACTAGAATGTTGTCCACTATTACAACATTGATCACTGGAATATACATGGTAATAAATGTTGTATTTTAATATGTTTGTGATCGAGTGTGTGGATTTATTTGTATACTTACATGATCACCGATTTGGTGAATAAAGGGCAGTCTAGAGTGAATGTTTCGTATTCTCCACCTTCGCCACATATATTTAAGCCATATTTTTCATTCTGGAAACCAACACAAAAGTCAAGGAGAAAACGGGATGAATCCCACTACATCTCCACTGTGTCAGACACACATTCCACTCAATATAAATAAGTAAAACAAACTTATACCCATATCCCATCCCAATACAGTAAGATAAAAGAAAATACCTGTAAAATGTTAAGTATAACCTATTTAATTAATTTCTTTTGTTCAAAAAAGTATAAATAAAGAATAACCTTGATTCATTTGGTAAATTATTAATAATCAAACTACCAAACTCCTTTAACTATACCTAATCTATAAATAAATAATAACAATATAACTTGCATAATGTATATCAAACTTATTATTGTAATGAAATAAAAAACAGATGCTAAAAGACATACAAAGACTAACATTCCCTAAAAAATAATGACTTATGAAATGCATTTCTAGAGACTTCATTATTGAAGTAGCATGTTAGTCATGCAATTTAGAGTAGTGAATATATAATTATTATATATTAAAGTTATATAAGTATACATATATCTCTAAATACAAATATATAGAAATTAATTAATATTTTTCTTTACCATTTTGACCAAATGAGGCATTAGCTTGTCAATTCGCAATCCCAAATGTTTTGTAGGGTCTAATCCAAGTGCTGCTACTTTAATAACAATTGCTTCAATATTGCAATCAATCATTTCTTGTAGCAGTTCCTTTTGATCACGACGCCATAAGTATGACAAAGAGCAAATGCCTAATCTTGAACACCTATAGTATTTATTTAAAAAATATTAAGAACTGTTTAAAACTATTTTGAACCCTTCAAGAATTTATAAACATCTGTTAACCTACACATCTTCTACACGTAAACGCTGATAATCTGAAAGAATAGCACCTACAGCTACACCATCATATTCAATTTGTGTCTGAAAAAGAAAAAAATGTCAAATTAAAAAAATAAGAAATATGCTAATATGTAATAGATAAATACTTTGATATTGGCAAGAAGATCAAACAAATCTTCAACTTCATCTTCAGGAGTATGAGTATAAATTTTTTCTTGTTGCAATGCTACCCCATTTGTCCGTTGCCTGAACAATGGGAGTCCCATAGCTTCTGCATACAGTTCTACTGCTTGGTGACCAACACTTTGATACATGTAGCTATCCAACTCATCTATATAGTAAATACAGTTGAAATGCATTTAATAAAAATCAGAAGATTCATATGCCATAAATTTGTATACCTTTGCTCTGTGGTTTAAGATTGGCCAATGCAACAATGTCATGGCCTGCTGCTATGCACTGCATCATGTTATAACAGCTGTCCTTACCACCACTGATTAATGCAACAACTCTCATATTTAACCCTAAATGACAACTACTTATTCATACACGATTTAAAAGCGAAAAATTTAGTGTTACAATCACTTATCCAACTAGTTATTACGAATTACAATCACCTTTAATGTTTGTTTATATATTATCTTTTATAGGTCAGTGCAAATGGTGTGTGTTCACAGCATCAGAAGAACAATGTTAGGTGTCATTTTGGTTGGTTTTTCCTGGGTAATACAGACAAACAAATTGACGCGTATTTACCACCACAAATATTATATTAAAATTAATAAACGATCCAACGAATGTTCGAAACAAATTTTTCTTTCACGTACATTTTCGTTCTAAAAAAAATTTTTAGCTGGGCTGTTATCATTAACGCGTGAACCCTGATTTTTATCAAACCAAATGACGGGAAAAAGAATTTTGTATCCGACTGTTTGGTTACCTTCGCTCGTAACGTTTTTTTCGAAGCCTGCTGATAAAATTCCGACTGTTGGTAGTTTACCTTTGATATTATTTATTGTTTAGCATTGGTCAAGATATTATTTCCCTGCAACCATGGTCAAAAACAATTTATTTTAATTTTAAAAACTGATAACAAACCCGCATTCGGTACATACTTATGAACTTTTTATTCGTGTGTACAATGCATATTGATAAACAAAGTTTGTATATTCATTATTTTTGTAACTTCCGAAATTCCGAAAACTATTGAATTGTTGAAGTAACTCAATTCAATTGTCGGCGATACACCGTTAGACGTTAAATTCTATTTTTCTCAATTAAGTAAGTACAATTTAAAACTTATTAATAATATTTTTAGTCATTTAATGCAAGTATACCTAAATTTGCATTGATGATCCATTCTGATTTCTAAGTACCTCATGATTAATATAATATGAATCAGTTATTGTTTTCATTAGTGAAAACAAAAAAAGATAATTATTCTAAAATTATTCCTTTATACAAATTTCTTACTTTTTCAGCCATACATTTTTATTAATTTTATATTTATTTCTTTAAACTTTTTTATTTCTTTTTCTCCAAGAAATTACCAACTAAATTCAGATGAATATAAATTTGACTAAATATTATTCTTTGCCTATATTTGTTGTGAAAAATAGACTTGTATTGTAAAAGTATATAAAAATTGTTTTTAAGACATTTTTGAGAGTAAATTCTGAAATATCTAGTTTATTTAAGTACATTTTTATAATTTTTTCCCTTCTTATAAATTATATTTTTAATAAAATAACTGTTTATATTATAATTTCAGTACATTAAGTGATTTTATTTGTTATTATAACATTTACTATAGAATGGAACCATCTAGTGATATAAGTATTGAAAGTGTTGAAGAAGATATTAAAAAGTCTTCATTAAATCGAGTGAGGAAAAGGAAAAAACAATTACATCGTGAACTGAAAAAGCTAGTAGAATTTTATTTAAGTGATGCTAATTTAAGAAAAGATAGATATTTTGGAAGTCTTATGCAAACCAATCAATGTAAGTGTATAAAGAATATATTTAAAATGTACTAAAATAAATGTTTGTATTATAAAATATAGGCATAAGTGTTGATACTTTTTTGAACTGTAATAAAATTAAGATCTTAACAACAAATCCTGAAGATATAATTAAAGCTATCGAAAGCTCTGATATTGTTGCTGTTAGTGATTGTAAAACTAACATTTATAGAATCAAGCCCGTTGAAGAAAAACAACCTGAAGATATTGAACGCTGTACAGTATATGTGGTAAGTTATACTTCATAAATTTGTTATGTCCTATTTTGTGTTAAAATATTTTTTTTAGGAACAATTGCCTGCAAAAGCTGATCATGATTGGGTAAAATCAATGTTTGAAAAATATGGTAGTGTTGCTTATGTTTCGCTACCTAAATTTAAAAGCGGTACTATTAAAAGATTTGCATTTGTTGAATTTATCAATGAAGAATCCGCCAAAAATGTTATCGAGGTACAATTTAATCTTATAATCATTTAAAGTAGTATATTAAAAAAAAATATATTTATGTAAATAAATGTACTCGTACTCATGTATAAAATATTGATCATAAAAATGGTTAATGGTACATATTTTGAATGCCAACTTATATATTATATTTTAAGTGATTTATATATTACGTAAAAACATATTTTTAATGTTTTTTAATTTGAAAAGCAATATTCCTTGGTCAGTATATGTAATACTACTATATTGTATATATGATGAATATTTCTGAAATATTTTGTGATAAACCGCTAAAAAATATTATTTCTTGACTATGTTTTCATAAATTAAATTTATTTCTATATATTATTTAAAAAACAATACATATTTTCTAGGAGTATAAAAAACTACATAAAGAAACTAAGATTCTCCCAGAAGAATTACAAAGTATAATTACTTTTAAAGAAGATGAAGATAAAAAAGATATAAATGAAAGTTCTGAAAATACCAATTCAGTAAAAAAAAGAAAACTTTCCGTTAGTAATGAAGGTGTGAAAGAAAAAAAAATTAAAAAAGAAATCATAAAAGTTAGCTCTACTGGGATTAAAAATAATAAAAAGAAAAAGAAAAAAGATAAACATAGAAAAAGTGATTTGGATAGTGAACAAAAAAATTCTTCTTTTGAAATAAGTGATTGTGAAAATAACCAAAGAACTATCTTAAATGAAAGTGTTGATTCCAGTATTGAAAAACCTATTGACATTATGCCAAGTGATGATGTTAAAAAAGATAGTAATATTGAGATTAATAATGAAGATTCTACTGTAAAGAAAAAAAGAAAACGTAATAAAGGAAAAAAAGTTAAATTAGAAGCTAATATATCATCTCCTGGGTTGAGAATAATGTCGAAGTATAAAAATATTTTTTTAAGTACATTTTAATAATTTAATTATAACTATTATTATTTTTAGAACTGAGTGGAGAAAACTAAGAAATAAATTCTTAAATATGCAACGGGAAAAAATGTCTCTATTAAAAGCTCAGTTACGGCGACCTAAGTATATAACAAATTTCAACACTAACAAAAATCCTGATGATAATGATGAGCAATTTAAAAATATTGAAAATTTGGAAACTCAGAAACCTATAAACACAGATATTCGTGTCAAGTATGAGCCTGGTGTAATATTGAAAATTTTATTTTCAAATCCAATTGAATGTGATAAAGTATTCAAAGTAATACATTTTTTATTGCTATACTAATTTTTAGAATTTAATAATAAAGTAAAGGTAGGGACACACTATTATCACGTCACATGAGCTCACGTCACGTCACACGATTAATATGTGAAATCTATTAATACGTACTGTTTTAAGATGTTAAAAACACATTACCCCCCACTCACGTGATATTGTAATATTTCATTGCGCCTCACGTGATATCATGTTTCTATTTTTCTATCGTTTCACATATTTTATGTTACATTTCATTTCGATTTTGAACTTTGACTGGTTGAAAATTGAAGCTTGTTTTATACAAATTCAGTTTTTATTAGATATGGAAGAAAAATTAATAGAACAAGTGAGACTTCACGAAGTTTTATTCAATTATAAATTGACCAGCTATAGGGACCAACATATCCGTCAGGAAGCATGGGAAGAAATCGGGAGGGAATTACAAATGAAAGGTTAGTTTATAAATAGGTACATTAAAATACTAATCAGCTCATGAAGGTATTCAAATTCTTCTTTTTTCATTTTGAAGTACATGTGAAATCTATGACTGTCTTCACTTAACTCTTGCACTAATCGATTGAATTCCCCAAGTTCTTCTCGTTTTGTATTAGTTTTATGAACCCATTCTGACCTTTTTTTCTTTTGTTCACATATAACGATAAAAACAGCAGCATTTTCTAAATCATATTCCCAATCAGAAGAACTAGTTGAACTAGCACACTCCATCTTGAATGAAAGTCAATACACTGTGTATTCAAATGTGACCAAACCACGTGAGTGATGTGATAGTGTGACCATTTTCAAACATACCTACGTGATGTGACGTGATAATAGTGTGTCCCTACCTTAATAATTCTTAGCTTGTATTATTTGAATAAACCTGAAGTTAGAGTGGTTTATTAAATATAATCATACTCATAAATATACATACTTTGATGGTCAATTTAGGGAGCAACAATTTATTTAAAGTGAACTACCCATCTGTGGAGTTACCTATATGATACAGTGTACAAAATCAGACATTTGTTACAATATAAAATTTGTATAAAATAGTATATAAATGAAATTAATTATTTAAAAAAAAAAAAAGTAAAAAATACAATAAAATTTGGAATGAACTTGGAATATAAATTATTATATTTTAAACCCAATGATCAAGATTGTTGATAAAATAAAAGACTTTGTTTACAATATAGTTATGTATAATATTAAGAATATAAATGTTTATGAGTAATGTTAAGTGTGTCTTGCATGATAACTAAACACATTTCTTTGAGTTCTCTTAACTCTAATATATTTTTTTTAAAGAAGTCATTGAGCGGTGGCGATGCAGTTCCATGTGCCCCGATCCATAGTCCATGAACTTAACAATTATTTATATGGTATTTTTCTTTAAAGAAGGGGACAGTTGGCTCGTAATTGGATTTCTTCTCTTCATCCACTAATTTGTCTTGGTTATCCTTGTTTTTTTTCCATCGCAGTATAGGGTCCAGAATCATTCCTTTGAGTTTTGTTCGGTTATTTAGTTTATTTAATAGTTTTCTATTAATGGTTAATTTTAATTTTTGTAACCATGCAATTGCAGCATAAGACATTTGTTATTCAACTATATTGTACGTTTTGTTATACACAAATCTCAAATCTTATTAAATTATATATTTATTATTTTATTTAGTTATTTATCTGTATTGTTTCTATCTTTAATCATAAAATTTGTTTATGACTAAGCAGTTATTTTGTAGAATATGTACTGTATTTGGCATTTTTTGGTTAGGTTACTCATTAAAAATGTAAATTACATTTTCACCATTTAAACATAAACCAAGTTTATTGATTAAATTTAATGTTTTATGATGTTATTTAATTATTGTTTTTAAGGCTGAAGCAAAATCTGATCCTAATGTGAAATTTGTTGATGTTGTAAACAATTTTGAAGCTTATGTACGATGTGATAGTCAAGAGTCAGCCAAAAAAATTGTAGATGAAAATCGATGGCCACAAACCAGTCTAGTAATCGGTAAATGTGTATCTAAATAAATGATATATTTGTTATAATATTTTTTGATAATAGGTGAAGAAGAAAAAGCTTATTGGCAAAAAATTGAACATGATAGAGAAATTAAATGTGTAAAACAAAAAGGAACTAAAAAACCACGTGGACGTGTAAAATTAATTAACAGGGCAGAAAAACTTCTAGCTCAACATGTTAAGTTTACACAGGATAATGATGAATAAAATAATTGTAAAAATTAATAATTTAACAAAAATGTAATATTACAGTTTATTAGTTGATAAAATAAATAAACTACTATGAATATTAAAGATTTAGTCATTTTATATTTATATTTATTTATAAATTTAGAAATTTATAATAATGTTAGAATTTTTAAATATGAATTTAGAAGTCCTTACATCCCTGTTGGTTACCAGTTCATAGTTAAGATTGTTGATATTATTATAAGGTGGTCAGATAAAATGAAAAGAAATCCGGGACAATAAATTCTAACGACCTATTCATCCTATGTAACCATAACCACTTAATATTGTTATCTTACATTTTTTACCTGTGGGTTTCATTATGAAATATTAAATGCTAAATATTAAAATTATAGAAATAGAAAATATACTTTTATTTTCAACAAAAACTCAGTAGCGTACATTCAATCTTGCTCTTGTTATGGGGGGGGGGGTAACAAAAATAATTGTTATCTTTTTTTTGTTGCACAGATAAATAACTGCTATTAATAGATATTATTTTATACAACTTTTTTACCAATTTACAGTTTACTTTTACAGTAAATTAATAGCTATTGGAATATAAAAACAGCTTGGTTAACAAAACTTTTCAAACACCTATCAATATAATTATTTAATTATCATAATATTTGTATAGTTGTATATTTTAAGTTCAAAGCGTAATAATGAAACTACGACTATATTACACGTCATCAATAATAAAACAATTTTTTTTTTTTTTTTGGTCCTGGGGGGTTTGAACCCGGGAATCCCTCCCATATGTACGCCACTGCATAAAACTAATTTTAAAATTTTAAATACAATTTACATATTTTTGTAATTCATAATGACTTAGTGACAGGTAAAATTTTTTAAGCCTTTTTTTAACTGTCATCGTGTATTTTTGCATTTTTCATAAATGAGTAATTTTTTATAATTTCTTTGTAAAATTCCATACAACTTAAACCATATGCTATGATAATCAAACAACTTTCTACAGTTACCACATCCATTTGATTACAAATATCAATCTAAGGAGAAGTCATCAATGAATACATTTGTTCTATTGATGCATTTGAACCCGGCAATAATAATAGTAATAATTTAAAAAATAAGTTAAATTTTGGGACATTATTATTTTTTTTTTTTTTTTTTTTTATTTTATGATTTAACGGGCAATGCCCTTTTTACAAGATTTAATAACTGTTGTATTAACATGTGTGTAAAAGAACAAGGTGGTGTAAAAACTTATTAATTAATCTCATCACAATCACAAAATCAAATACTATAATGATCTTAATAATTCTAAAGCCTTAAATCTAAATATGTTGCGAGAGAATACAAAAAAATCTAATTTGGATGATAACTTATTGGCCAGAACAAAAGCTCTTGAGAAGAACGTACTATTTCCACTATTGGTATTATATTTCGGAACTATGAAAAGATCCAAGTTCCTTGTGTTAATGGAAGGGACGCGAAACCCTATTTCGAACAGTAGGTCTGGACAGTCAATGAGGTTGTTTAAAATATCATAAAGTAACATAATGTCTGTTATTTGACGCCTTATATTTAGTGAGTCTAGACTCAAAAAGTTTTCAATAATACTAACGGTGTCTCTTGTAATGTGTATATGAGTAATATAAGAAATTCTTTTTAAAAATTTATATTGGACATTATCAAGTTCATTTATATATTTTAAGTAATTAGGAGACCAAATAAGTGAACCAAATTCGAGGTTAGATCTAACCAATGACATATATAGGGTTTTTGAACTCTTTAGTATTTCTATTTATAAAACCAAGCATTTTGAGAGATTTATTTATAATTTTACTATGATTTAGTTTAAACGATAGATCATTCTCAAAGTAGATACCTAAATCTTTGATAGAATTAACTCTATCCAAAGAGTGGTTATTTATTTGATATTGAAATATAATTGGATTTTTATTACGTGTGAAAGTTATTACTTGGCATTTATTAATATTTAGTGGAAGAAGATTTCGTTCACTCCATTGAAAAAAGTTATTAAGATTGAGTTGTAAACTATTTGCATCATTAATTGATTTAATATCGAAATATAATTTTGCATCATCTGCGAACAACAAAATATTAATGTTAGTATCAAGGACCGATGGGAGATCATTTATAAAAATTAAGAAAAGTAATGGTCCTAGATGAGAGCCCTGAGGTCACCGCATACTCATCTGAATAGTAAAACGAAATTTTTACTGATTGTGTACGATTAGTGAGATAAGAGTAGAGCCAATTAAGGAAATTGCCTCCAAATCCGAAAACTTTTAATTTATGGTATAATAATGTATGATTAACTTATTTTTTTTATTTATTAATTTAAATTTTGATAGCTAAATCCGGTAATAATGCCTTATCTTGAAAAACTTTTGAAAAACTGGGACATGATTTCATATACTGGTAATATCTCAGATTTTCTAGGACGAATGGCCACCTTAAAGTAAAAATTTAACCTTTGAATATTCTAATTACAAATTACAATGTGTAGTTGTTTATTAAGGTTTCTATATATTAACATACAAAAATTATAAAATTTAAATAGAATTTTATTAATAATCTATGTAATCAAATTCAGAAGGAAAGTGAATCATATACTTTTACTTTGATTAGACAGTTGATATGTAATATATATTCATAAATCGTTTAGATTTTTTTTTAATAACGTCAAGCCTGGGAACATTGATTAATTAATATTATGGAATATGATTTCATAAAAATCTAACCTATTAAAATGTATTTAATATGAGGATAAAACGGATATGTAGACCATAAAGTAATTGTTTTTAAAATAATGATTAAAATACATATATGATGAATTGTAAATACAGGACATACTTTAAATCAATGGGTTGTAATCCCAGATGATTATTAAGTTGCAAGATTCAGGAGAAACAAAAAAATAAAAGATATGCAAAAGGTTAAGAAATATTCAGGATAAAATAGTTACACAAGATACGGTTGAAAGTTATAATATAATGTTTAATATATAATAATTTAAGCTTAATAACAAAAAAAAATTATATAGGTCTTTCAAGGAGCCCGGTTTCAAGACCCTTGCTCATTAGTAACTACAAATTGCGTAATTCTTAACTAATATCCTTAACCCCCCTTCCTCCACTATTCTTAGAACATTTTAGATTTTGTTAATTAAATATTAATGTTAATAAACATTAATAATATAAACCCCTCAATTGGAGTTTAAAACACATAGGTAAATTACTAACATAGAATTGCCCCCAAAGAATTAAACGCAATTTGTGAGTATACAATTATCGACCTACAATATCAATATGAGATTAACTATAAAATAAAGTTATGAAATTTACCAAATGAACTTAATTCTAAACAAAAATGTTTTCTTAAATATTTTAATATCTTAATATCTTAACTTGAAAGAATTGTGTGTAGGACAAACACTATTTAAATCCTATTAAAACAGACGACAGAAATTATAATTCACAAAAAATTAATTTTCATAAAACAAATGTTTTGTTATAATGATAGACAAATATTTTAATTTTTGGAATAGTTTAAAATATAAGCTTTTCAGTATTTTTCCAATGGAAAATTATATTTTTTTTGGAAAATAAAAATCCTACTTCATAAGTAAGTATACATTTAATTACTATCTAAAATAATGATAAGTCAAATTTGATAAATGTTTATAATACCTGAAATTATTTTAACTTTAATTTACAGCTTACATTATATATCCAATGAATATAAAAAAAAAATGGTTTATTAAACTTATTTGTCATCATTAATTTTATTAGTTGTAATCAATTTTAGAAAAAAGTAAATTGATATCAACAAATGTACTTCAATTTTCAATTCAAGCTTATATTTTTTGTTTACTATAACAAAACGAAATCTAATAATTTTAAAATATGTGTCAACCTTAAAAAAGGAAAAATATATCAATACTTATGCATAATAAGGTTGAATTCCATTATTCATGACTTCCATAGTTTTAGTGCACAAATGAGAGAATCCCTGTAACTTTTTAGGTACTATGGTTTTTGTAATATTATGAAAAAGATCAAAAGGATCTTGTACTGCAAGACCTTCGCCGTGAAAATTTTCCTTTAATCGCATGGACCAGTTATAAGGTCTACCAATTCTTTTTTTATTAAATCCCATTAGGTCTGGACTTTCAACTGGGACTTTGTAAAAAATTTCTTTAGGCAAAGCTTTACCGATAGCTGGACATAAAACAAATTGCTTAAGTCTATTGAAGTCTGAATAGAATTTGAAGAAACCAAATAGTAAATCCCAACAAGGAATCTCAGGTACTATCCATATTTGTTTGGCTTTTTCAAGAGTACAAAAAGTACAATCCCAATCTAAAAAAGAAAAAATTAGTATAATTTAATTATATCATAATAATAATGGGGAGGATGGTGGGTAGCCTGCTTGTGGCCCTCCTTGTATATGTTATTATACATGCCGAAATCTAACAAATAGAAGCAATCATAATAACAAATCTAATACCACCACATAGGTGCTGATACCCAGCTCATCAAGCACATGCCATACAAAATAAATAAAAAAAATAATAATAAAAAGTAATATTAAAACTATATTTTTTAATTAATTTTTATATACAGCTTTAAATGGGTAATTATGTTTTACATTTTGTGAAAAATAAGATATTTTATAACATTTAAAATTAATTTTGTTTTATAAATAGAAAACACAAAGATTTTTACAAAAACATAAAAATTATTTTTTCTGTTAATTAGATGAAACATATAACTGTTAAATATTTTACATTGAACTTCAATTAAAATTAATTATTGAAAATGATAATTTATTACTACTCTCATAGATAAAGAATAAAATAGGATAGAGCATTCACGGCTTACATTCAAAATCACTAAGTTTTTACATTCTGAAATAAAATATTACTCAATTATATCCAAATAACAAATATTGAACCTATAGTTTATCAAATAAAAGTTAAGGTAAATGCAGAAATGATACGAATTTTTGATACAAGTACTAGTATTGAAACAATTTTTTTTTTTTTTTTTACTAGAGGACACAAAAATACATTAAAATATAAGTTTCAACTAATAAATTAAAAATATTAATTAAACATTTAATCCAGGTTTACCTTCTATAAACATTACATCTGATCCACTTAATTGTTCTGAGTAGTTTGCGTAACTTCTAAGCAATTTCAAAGGAGGCACAACATCTATAGTCATTAAGTAAAAGAGAACTAGCCATACTAAAGCATAGCTAGTAAACATACTTTGATTTTTTAAATCATTTTGTAATGCCCAACGTTTAACAACAGCACAAACAATCCAATGAACTCGTTTATCCAATGTCAGATATAACCTAAAATTAAAAATACAACAAGATACAAGTTTTTAAAAAAATTTAAATATTTTTTTTTTTGGTATGATTATGTAATCACCTGACTAATTTAGTGTTATGTGTACTGAGACCACTTTTGAAAGACAAATCACAATGGAGACCAGATGGAGTATGCAGAAATTTAACAATGGGCACTCGAGCTGCAGTTATTAGTTGTATATTTTTAAATTCACTTTGAGAACGAAATATTTTTCCAAAATAGCGTACTAAATCTTCTTGAGCATTTAAATCATGACTTAACTGACCACGAAAAGTATTAGCTGTAAAAATAAACAATAATTATAAATACAAATTGTCTTAATTATTATGCACATCATTAAATTTTTTACTTAAAAGTTATTTAAAATATTGAGAGTATAAAGTTTAAAATATCCTTATAATACAGTATAAATATTATAGTATTATGTATCATTACCAATATCAAAATACAAATCCACATCACTCTCTTTAAGAGCAAGACCTGACATACGCGATCCGAAAGCATATGTTTTACTGCCTAAGAAATATTGACCACTATAACGATGAATTGCATTTATTAACATAAATAATCTTTGAAACATATTAGGATTGGAAATTTCATTATTGATTGCCTCAAGTTGTTTGTTAATAGTTTTCATGAGTATTTCTTTATTTCCAAACTCTTGTTCTGTTATTCTATTCAATTCAGGTAATTTTTCCTCTGTAAAAAATTGTTCAAAAATATGAAATATATATATATATATATATATATATATGTTTTTAATATATTCCTCTGTTACATTGGAAGAAAACAAAATAATAAAAAATAATAATAATATAATAATATAATAAATAATAAGATAGATTTTATATACTTTTTAAAAAAAAAAAGTTTTTAAATATTTTTAATGATTAAATAATAAATAATTTTAGAGACATTTTATTTAAATATTTGGAACCATAATAAATTGAAACACTATATAATTGGTTAAATCTATGTTATAGATTAAGTGATTTTATTTTAATTTATCTAAAATATGGTCTATTCCAGAAAATATCTTAGACATTTTTTTTTTAATATTTAAATAATTTTAATTTTATTTATTTGACTTACTTTTATTATTATTTTTAAAATTTTCTATCATAACTAAATAATAATTACTTTTTTTCAATGTGTATACATTATCCCAAACATTTTAATGTTCATAATTTTTATAAAATTTAGTATTACAAAGAAAAATATTCATACATTAAACACCACTGTTATAGTGAAAAATTACCTTCAATCTGAACAGAAATGGTAAATTCATACGTCGCTTCTAATAATTCTTTATCTTTTATCATTTCATAAGCAGAAAACCTGTAAAATATGAATTAAATCTTAATTTAAACCTACACTGAAATGTATAATAACAAATAGGAACATTTGGCTTTATAGGAATAAATATTTAACTTAAAAATTTGAACTATTTTCTTTTACAATATATACTTACAATTTACGATAAATGATTATAACAGAGTTCTGTTTAGGATATAAACCAAAATATCCGTAAGCTGCAAAAATTTTCTTTAGTTCAACCCAACCATTTCTCCTATATTTTGATTTAGCTCCTAAAACAAATAACAATTTAAATAATACTTCAAATATAAATAATATACATAATTACCTTTAATTTCAAACACTATTTTTTGATGAGTTGTTTCTTTTTCAATATGTTTGCCATTAATTTTTACTTGCTTATCTGTTGTTAAAGGTCTAGCATCGTTTGATGATTTATTAATAACCGTATTACCTTTATTTTCTTTTATTTCAATAGCATTTTTAACATTGTTTGCAGAACATAATTTTCTAAAATCTGACATTTTTATGTGTTCAATTGTTCTATTATGTTCATCTAAATTATCAGATGGACCAATTTGATTTAGATTGCAAATATCACAGAACACACTTTTGTTCCCATCCATAATATTTGAATGGGATTTTAAAATATGATCATCCCAAATTGTCTGTACTGAAGTAATAAGATCACAAGGTAAACAATAATTTACAGTCTGTAGAGTTATTTCTTGGTTTTGATTAAGCATATCATTTAACATTTTAATTTTCTGATCAAAAAAATTACAATAACTATGAGTATTAGATTTTAAAAGAGTATTACTATCTTGTTTAGAGTTAGTTTTGAAAAGAAGTGCATCTATTGCATGTGATTCATCATTCACATGATCATTTGATGCTCCAAATGTGTTACTATCTTGTTGAATATTTGATTCATCCATCTTCAAACTTGTGTCATATTGAATATTTGATTCTTGAGAATATTCATCTATTGCTTTAATTGTTGGATATATATCATCAATGTTAACTTTAGGTTTTTTTAAAGATAATTCATTCAACCTTATAGATAATGAATTAATTTCATTATTAGATTCTTCAAGTTGATAGTTATTATTTCCTATTTTTTGAATATCTCCAAAAGTAGTTTCTGTGTTACAAATAGATTTTGTTTCAGAAGTTTTTTGCAATAGAGAATCATTTACTTTCAAATCATTGGTACATTTTAATGATTTAAATACTCTTAGCATTGAATGAAAGCGATTGCTATAATGTTCAAACATATGTTTTCGTTGTCCAAACATTAAAGTTTTGCAAATTTTACAATAATGATCCATGCAAAGACTCTTGGAAGAATTAATATGCTTTTTATCATTGATGTGTAATTTCCATGTACATAAATCCATACATAAATAATCACAAACGAAACAAAAAAAACCAATGTTTTGTGTTGCATCATATAGTTCTTCATTTGTAACAAATTTAATTAAATAAGCATAAAGTTTATAAGGTTTAGGAACATCTTTGATTTCATTTCTTCTGTATTCTAAACTCATCATTATATGCTCAGGAGTACATTTGTGTCTTTCATAAACAGTGCTTGAAGAGTAAAATTCAATTTCACAATATTTGCAATAAAATAATTCAACAAGATCTGATGCAACTGATGCATGACTATCTGTATTCAAATGATTAAAATTATCAGATGCTTTAAATATTTTGTTACATGGCTCACAGTAACATGAAATATCATAAACCTTACATGCAATATTTTCCCTTGACAATTGTTTTTCTATTAACAAAGTTTCTAATGACATGTTCATAGTGGTTGTCTTATGTTTATTATTTAAATGTAATTCAATAGCATTAATTTTTCCATATAGTAAAGTATTACAACTTGTACAAAAATATGAGCGTAAGTAATACATTTCTGTTTTTACATGAGAAATTGCATGTTTTTCCCATAAATCATAGTTATTAGAGTAAAATTGGCATTCTAAACATACAAAATTATCTATACATTTTTTTGAGATATTTTTATTAGAATCTTGGTAACAAATCAATAAATGATTAAGAAGAGCAATCTCAGTGAGGTCAACTGGATCATTACATTCTTTACAAACAACTTTAATTTCATCTTCAAAATATGTGAACCAGTTTAAAAATGGTTTGAAATAAATCTGTGCTTGATTTTCAATTATTTCCAATGAATTTTTAGAAATACAAGGTTTTTGATCTTCATTTTGTAATGCAACTATTTTTTTAGAATTAGACATTGGTGATGTTTTTTGTTCTAAAAGTTGGTTATTGACAGAAGCATATTTTAAAATAATATGTTCACTTGATAATCCATGTTTGATGAATAATTTATCATTTTCAATACAAAAAAATTCAGTTTTACAAGGATAACAAACTATTCGCTTTAATTTAGTCTTGTGACTTTTATTCCAATGATTTGAATTAGAATTCACTTCAGCATATGTTTCACAATCTTCACAATAGTAAAAGTCTTTGCTTTTCTCATCTTTGTTAATACGTTGAAAGTTAAAAGCCATAAACATAGAGAGCTTATTTTCAGAATGATTTGGATGAATATCTTGATGTTCTCTTACATAATGTGAGTTACCATAACAATGTAATGAACAAAGTTCACATGTATACGAGACTAGATCACTTTTATCATAACATTTTATTAAATGACTAAATAAAATTAAATGTTCCTTCCACTGTTTAAAATCTGTTACAGTTATATCGCAAACTGCACAAAAATACAATTTTATTGTTGTTAAATATTTTCTGCCAAAATTTGATTTATAAATACATTCATCAGCCAGATGAACAGTTATTGCTTTTTCATTGGGAAACATTTGAAACTTGCAATCATTACAAGTAGCTTTTTCATTATCAATAGAAAATCTATTTAAAATTATTGGAGGCAGTTTCAAATTACATATAGATTCAAGTTTTTCATTGGATTTAGCTCTTAAACGATCCAACATGATATGTTCACTTGATAACAAATGATAGTTATATATATCTTGACTACATATAAAATATATTGAACATGAATCACACTTAAAATGTTTAGTTTTTTTGTGAATGTGGTTTTGTGGATTACAATTAATTGTAGAAGATGAATATTTTTTACAGGGAGCACAAAATGTCCATGATATAAGATTTTTACGATCAACAAATATAAAATCATAAAAAATGTCTTTCATGCAATTAAAAATGCATGGTAATCTAGATGAGTCTTTATGGATATTTTTGCAGTGGTTTAAAATCCATTCCTTGTTTCCAAAAAATACAGATTTACAACCACGACAAACATATGAAACATAATTATTGTTGATCATACATTTCTGCATATGACAATAACTAACCGTATGAGACTTCCAATCTTTTAACTTTCTAAATAATTTGTCACAAATCAAACATTTAAATTTGTAAAAATATTTCATATTTTCTTCATTTTTTTTTTTGCATTCAGAAGCATGTTTAGTTAATATTGAAATATCATGAGAAAATAAACAATGACAAAAATGACAACTGACCAAATCTATTTTTTCATCATACTTAAATTGAATTAGTTTTCCCTGGCCTACAATATCTTCACAATGATTTTTCTTATTTTCGATAAGATTTTGATCAGAACTTATATTATGAAATGGAAGCTTATTAACTTTAGATTGATCATTTTTTTCTAAGTACATAGATGGAACAGAATTTGAACTTTTAGAATATTTACATTTTTGAGTAGTATCAATACACAAGATAGGTGTAGTTTTTGATTTTGAAATGACTATATTTTCATTAGATGGTTCAATTTCTAATTTGTTTTTAATCATATTTAGCTCAATTCTGTTATTATCGGCTATTTTTGAAGTTACCTGATTGGGTTTGGCGTTCTGAAAAATAATTTTCTTCTTTTGTTTTCTATGTTCCACCAAATGATTGGTTCCTGCTGTATTTTCCATGAGTTATAAATGTTTTGATCTAAAACAAAGAAATAACCAATTTATAAATTTGATAAAAATGATTTACAATCATTTCAAATTTGAATAGTATAAACATCAATCAGAAACTCAACAAACTAAAAGAGGAATTGATGTCAACATTTAATCTTTCAACCATTTTTAATGATTTAAAATCCTTCTCTTAATGTATATGTTCATACTTAATAATACTACTAATAATGTAATGAAGTATAATCCATATTCAAATTGATATGATCCCGTAAAGTATGACTACCTAACTTAATAAAATAAATAATAAAATAGATTGATCAAAGAATTATAATACAAAAATACAAATCTTATAAAAATTCTCATAATAAAATACTTTTTTATATGTTAGTATTAAGCATTAACATTTAAGAAACCTATACAAAATCAATAATAATGTTTCAAAAATTTCATCCTTAATAACTGATAAAATTATTCTTTCATTTGTCATATATGCGCTGAGCTCTTTTGACAATTACAAAAAGAATAAAGGTTTACTTAATAATTATCAACAAAAAGAAAAAAAATAATAAAAATAATAACAAAGAATTAAGAACTAATTATATAGTGAATAAAGATTTTGTTATAAAGCAATGATATTGATAACTTAAGAAATATCGACTTACCAAAACTATGTGGACCAATCTACATAAAATAAAAACTTGACAGTTACAAGACAAAATATAATTGAATTATTCAAATGAAAATAATAATATATGAGAAACACCTAATGTTGTGTTTACAAACTTGCACAACCATAATATGAAACATATTGTTTATTGATATAAGCCTTTATAATACAAGTAAATTAACGTTACCTGGGTTATAAGTTACAATGAAACTAATTAATGAATTTACTTTTGTTTGAACAAAATTTTCACAGATAAGAAATTGTTGTTTGTGTACAATGTACTTGTTGCTCATTACACACAAATATATAATTAGCACATTAAAATACCTACAAATGTTATATTTCCCAGAGAATGAAAATTTGACACCTGAACGAACTATGTGCTTAATATCCAAAAACTTTTTGATAAAAAATTAATGAATAATATGGAATCACAGCAAACCGTATTTTTATTTATTTACTTACTTTATAGTAAAAAGCTAAGGACGTAAATAAAATACTAGAAACGACGTACTCAGACATCAATAATAAAATGTGTCGAAGTGTTCACGCCTTGAGGCTGATGGTGTAACAACACGATAATTATATAGTTATGTATATTTACCAAAGCTGTCCGTGTTCTGCAGTAAGAAGCATAGGGGATCAGGATTGAGCACTCGTCATTGGATTGGTGTCGTCAATAATTTAGAACAACTGTTTGATGCAAGTAACTATCTATAATTTATCGAATCACTAAAGCAATAATGCCCACAATCCAATAAAACAAGACTTGAACAACTAGACCACAGATTAATCTCCGTGTTTATTAGCTACGATTTAATTTGGAAATTGAAAGTCTAACACTGTTATCAGATAACGTTCCATCACCACTACAACCGCCACGGTTCAGTTACAAACACATAGGAAAAATAAAAAACTATGCATGGTGTTTATAGATTTAGAATAGGCGTATGACAGAGTGCTAAGAGAAATTTTAAAGTGGGTATTAATGAGAAAAAAGGTCTCAAGGATATGTATGAAGGCTCGATTACTAGTGTCAAGAGAATGTATGGAGTAGCAAAATATTTTAATGTAGGAGTAGGTGTACTATTTGTTTTTTGTGGTAATGGATGAAGTTACAAAAAAGTTAGAATAAGGAACAAATATGTGAGAGGTAATATCGGTGAAGCGTCGATAGTGGACAAAATAAGAGAAAATAGACTGAGATTGTTTGGGCATGTGATGAAATGAGAGAAAACATAAGTACCTATTAAAAGTGGTTATGAAAATGAACGTTGAAGAGAAAAGAGAAAGAGGAAGACCAAAAAAGTGATGGGTGGATACGGTTAAGAATGAAATAAGGGCTATTGATGTGTGGGTAGGGGGTGTAGAAAATCGAGAAAAGTAAAGAATTAGAACAAAGGCGACGGACCCCAAACAGTTGGGAGAAAGGTGAGGGAGAAGAGAGAGAATATTTAAAAAATGTGGACAATTAATTGTGTTTCACTCAGTCTTTCAAAAAATTATCAACTAGATGACAAAATATTTTCACTGGACGACATTTGTGTCTAACTAGTTTCAAGAATGCACTGAGCCTCAAATGTTTATGAACTTAAAATAACTGTAATAGACAGAGGCACACACAGGATTTTTTTCGGGGGGGGGGAAGATAAAAATATAACACGTTTTACAATTAACAAAATTATGCAAATCCTTAATATATTTTGACTTAAATAATAGCATTGATGATAGAATAGACTATTCTAAAATATAAATTAAAATTAAAACTAAAAAAAAACCAGAAAACAATTTTCAATTTCTTTTTTTTAGAATAGACTATATACTCCAAGTTGTAATGATGTTGTTTAATCGTCTATTCATTTTTTTTGACAACCCAATTTTACACAATTAAATTTTTTTTAAAAAGAAGGGTTAGTTAGGTGGGTAATTTAATCTATTAATCGGAGCAGATTAGTTTTTAGTGTGTGTCACCATTTATATTCCGATTTACAAATATTAACAAATACATGTTTTGAGTATCAGTTAATATATACGATTTTACATTAAGTAAAATCAATCACAAAATTACAAAGAAGATTTATAACTTCAGGAAATAGATAAATTATTGTTATTTTGATGTCAATTGCTTATCAGGGACAGGAATTATATAGGTAATCGATATTAATTCTAAACAGTAGCGCACAAAGGTATTTTGAAAGCATATACAACTAACAAAAGTTACCCATCCACCCACCCACAAATTGCATATTTTCTTACCATAATGTTGGGTTTCCAAGTAAAAAAACCCTTCCCACCATCCTCGAGAAAACATGCAGTTGCATCACTTGCTAACCTGTCTGGGCGCCACTGATTCTAAATAATTTTCACACATCTTACTTTGGATCATATATTAATAAACAAATAAATATTGAAATTAATAAATATTTCATAATTGGCGAGCACCGAAATTAAAATTTAGGATTTGTAAAGTGTCGTGACGCTACTGCTCGCCATTAGTAATCGATACAGCTTTTGAGGCAAATGCATTTTTTTTCTATGTAAAAAAAATATATAAGTATATTTTTTAAAATTTTTTAATTAATTAATTGAGAATTAATTAAGCGAAGAAGGCTTTTCAAAATAAAAAACACTTATTGACCAATAATAATGTATCCTTACAGACAAGAAAAAAGCTCTTAAAAATATAAGTGTGGAGTATTGCCCTATATGGATATGAAACTTGGACAATTAGTAAAGAAGAGAGAAACAAACTCGAGACCTTCGAAATATGGTGTTATCGAAAAATGTTTAAAATGGATTGAAAAGGTAACAAATGAAGCAGTATTAAGTAGAGTTAAAAAAAAAACGACAATTGTGGCATAGTATTAAAGTTAGAAGAGACAAAATAATAGGGCACATATACGCCATGATAGTTTAACGAAAAATGTCATAGGTTATATTGGAAGAGGAAGGTCCAGGATGGAATATGTGAAACAAATCATGATTGACATGGGAAAGGATAGCTACAAGGAACTTAAGGAATTAAGTTACAATAGGGAAGAATGGAGAACCGCTGCAACTCGTTTGCGCACATTCAACATTTTTACCTGAAAATCGAAGACTCGTTTGCGCACGACGAAATCAGTTGTTTACCTGAAAATAAATAACACATTCACACACATGACACGTAAAGTTTCAGTGGGTATGGACAATGAATATGGTACAGTAGTGACTAGTGTGTTATCGACGTAAACTTAAATATGACGTAGAAATTTCTAATATTTTTGAATCTTAGTGAGGAGAACAATTTTTTAATATTGATAATTATAAATTTAGTGAATACCGTGTTTTAATGAGTGGATGTTCAAATTTTAGATGCACTATGAAGAAATGTTCTGCCAGTGTTATTGTTAATAGTTCAAACAAATTAATAAAAGTATCCAACTTTCATAATCATGAGGAGTATAATAATCAAAGATAATAAACAAACGAGTTCTGACTCTAGGGATTTTCATTACTGGTAGCCAAAATATATGTGCGCAATCGAGTTGTGCATTTTTGCGCAAACTAGTTATAAAAAAGGTAAATATGCACAAACGAGTTGTAGCATGGAGAACTGCAGCAAACTAGTCAAACGACTCAAGACACAAAGACAATATATTAGAGATGTGTCGTTCATGAATGAACTAGTCCAATTGAACTATTCACCCAAGTGACCGGTTTCGTACTAGTTCACTTTTGATGAACGACTCGTTCACCGTTCACTTCATGAGCTAGTACCACAGATATGTATAATAAACTAGATTGCTAACTGATGATAAGATGTGAAGCCATTATCCGCCATTTTAATCGAGGCCAATGTAGATTTTGCCTTATCAATTTTTATTATTAATTGTCAGTTGTGCATTTATTTAGAAATTATAATAGTTTATACTATATTTCCAATCATGCCATATAAATGCTGTGTTGATGGATGCCGTAGCAAGGACGGGGTTGTTGGTTCAACTACGAAATTATTTAGGTAATTAAATACTCAACACATAAATCATGTCACCTCACGAAGATTCTCTTTTTTTAATTAAATGGAAATATAAAGCACCAGAACAAAATTTAGAAAATGAACTTGATATTTCATTGTTAGCAGAACAGTACAATAAATTAGATTTTAATAGCATCACTGAAAATATATTATATTACATATGTGGATATATTGTTAAAAAACTAATCCCAACTTTAAAATGTGATGGTTGTATTGAAGCCATTACAGAACCATTAATTGAAAATGATCACATTTATCAAAATAATGCCACACCAAAAAATTTTACAATTATGAAAAACATAGGTGGTTTGAAGTATGCTTCTGATGGGGTGTACAAAATTGTTAAATTGACAGAAACATTATTTAAAACTATTATGGTGGATAAAAAACAAATGTTTATTAAAAATATGGATTTAAAAATTATGATAAGTGTACAAAACTCATTAGCGACAAACGCTATACTATTTCCAGAATGTGATACTTGCTGGAATTCAACAGATTTATTGGCAAGACCTCACAAAATTGACATTATAAACAAAGTAACCAAAACCTACCTTAAAGTGAGATTATATTCTTATAGTAATATAATAACATCCTCGATTATGAAAACTGCTAGTAAACAACAGAAACTCAGTAAAACCACTTTATTTTATAACATGTAAAAATTGTTAACCTATCAGAATAAACTATGTTAATAATTGTTATTTATATTTAGATGGAAAATTTATATAAATGAGAAAAATAAAGTGCAATAAAAATGTTTTTTGTTTGGATACTTGTTCTATAATTAATTAATTTTTTTTATCAGTTTCTTTATCAAACAAATCTAAGGCTGTGATAAAGCCCATAGGCCTCGAATTAAATGGCTGCCGTCTGCTTCAACTAATCACATGAGTAAGATGCAACAGTTAGCAATCTAGTTTATTATACATATCTGTGCCTAAGCCCAAAAAAAAAAGCTATAAATGTTTTGACGTATAAAATGTATCTTATAATTATAATCATATCAGTCGTGTGCGACCGAGATATAGAGTATAATAAATTATCATTGATAATATACAATTCTATATTATTATATTGTAGAGATGGGACTTATCGTTAATTAAGGTGAACTAGTTCATCGTTCATATATTTGACGATTCGTTCGTATGAATACGTATCAAAGAATTGTTCATGAACGAACTAGTTCAATAATTATTATTCCGTATCAACGAATCGTTTATGAATGATTAAGGTACTATCCACAGATATGTATAATAAACTAGATTGCTAACTGTAGCATCTTACTCATGTGATTAGTTGAAGCAGACGGCAGCCATTTAATTCGAGGCCTATGGGCTTTATCACAGCCTTAGATTTGTTTGATAAAGAAACTGATAAAAAAAATAAATTATTTATATTTCCATTTAATTGAAAAAAGAGAATCTTCGTGAGGTGACATGATTTATGTGTTGAGTATTTAATTACCTAAATAATTTCGTAGTTGAACCAACAACCCCGTCCTTGCTACGGCATCCATCAACACAGCATTTATATGGCATGATTAGAAATATAGTATAAACTATTATAATTTCTAAATAAATGCACAACTGACAATTAATGATAAAAATTGATAAGGCAAAATCTACATCGGCCTCGATTAAAATGGCGGATAATGGCTTCACATCTTATCATCAGTTAGCAATCTAGTTTATTCACAGATATCTATATTATACTGGATAACGAACTACCGATGTTTTCCATTGAGAGAAGTGAAGCCCGGGGACGCAAGATTATCATACGTCCGCCATGTTTTCGATTGGCAAAACAATATTACTTTACACTTTATAAAATAGTTGAACACACTAAATTATTAAATTAAACATTTTTCATTACGTTTAATCAAAATTAAATTTCATTATAGAATTGAGAATATTAATTTAAAATTACACTATTGATTATTTACATAATGTATATAATATATATTGATTATATTATACTCGTAATCAATGAGTAAAAAAAAATATAAAGAAAATAAAGAAAATTACATATTTAAATACACAAAACCATATCACTATACTTACTATATTTAGTTTTAACTATTATATATATATATATATATTAATTAAAATAAATGTTTATATACTGATATACTGTAGTAGGGTTTGTTTTCCAAGTTTGGTTACTAACCTTAGCGCAATTGATTGAAAAGCCTGAATTGGCCTGGTGTTCGAGGGACTTGCTGGACCCCAGATTGCTATTCCATAAGACCAGATTGGTCTTATGATTGACTTATATGTAATAAGTTTGTTTTGGAGTGTTATTTTGGA